GGTGTCTGCGGTATACATAAAGTATGCGTATGATTGTCTTATATTGGAAAAGTTGTATTCGCGCCCAACTGGCGTGTCTGCAGACGTCGCGTTTGCCATTTATTTTAAAATGTATAAACATGTCCCCGACCAAATAAAAATCGTGACCAGAATGACTAGTTCGTTAAAAATCTGGCAGCGTTAATAACGGTTTAGTTCTAGTCTCAGACATCACGACGCATTAAATTAATATATCAAACCATTTTTTTATATTATAAAATAATATAGGACTGCATCAGGTATCCAATTAAAATAACAAAACGTCCGACCTAATGCTCAAAGACTTTGATGGTTACATTGCTTGTGTATTTTCTCGATAATTTTTGCTCTTGAAAATCGGTCGATTTAACAACTATATCGTATACACAAACTATCTGATCGTGCTGACGCCATTATATTATGTATATGTGGTAGGTATGCAAAAAAAATAAAAAATACTGTACAAAGTCATACTATAACGTCCGTATACAGACACGGAATGAAACTTAATATGATATGCAAATGGCTGTCTGTCTTACAGGTTCACGATAATGCATTTTGTATGAAAGAAACGAAGCAAAAGTTTTTGGATTTACGAAAACGAATGGAAATATTATCATCACCCATTGTGGGTAACGACTGAGACGCACCCCCCCCCCTACAAGTAATAATATACGTCAAGCATAATAATATGTTTGCAAACGTTCAGACCCCTTCTGAATAATAAAATATTTAGAACTCTTTTGGCTATATTATTACATATCAATGACAAAATCAGTGGTGGATTTAAGGGGAGATAGGAGGATCGCTCCACCCGTTTTTAAATTTTCTTTTACTTATAGATTTTTCAATTGAATTTATTCTTCAATACTTTTATCCCTCTATTTCGAGGTGTAAATACTCTCCCCCCGCCGAAATGAGTTAGACAGGTATTTAGATATTTTAGATCTGTCTGTATACTGTTGCACAACCATATGGGTATATAAACATATTATTTCAGATCCGACCGCATTAAGACGGATGTCCTATTATACCTAAGATTCCTTGTAGGTACCATCCGTAATGCTTTCACAGCATCATGACATAGACAAAATATATGTCAATGTACAGGGTAAACGTTTTTTATTTTTTTTACATAGTACGGTTACTGGTAACCGAGATGTTCATAAGAGTTTATAGGTACCTATTTTCTAAGTAATATTCAAGAACATTGTCTGATCATATGATACGTTGAATATTGATATTGAATATCTATGTTAATTAAAAGTGTGAACATAACATTATAATATTATTCAAAAACTAAATTATATTTTCTATTTCGTAATATAATTGGCTCATAGTCATTGATTTTTCCTTGTAAAGAAATATAATTTGTATTGTATGATATTGATCATAATTTAATAGGTATACATTCACGAAATTGAAAATAGAACTGCTAGTCAAAAATATAGGGGTTTTATCGTTCTTTGACATAAAATATGTAAAGTACCTATATATTATATGTAGTATAATATCATGATTTTACACATTTTAAATATAATGAAAAAATTCTAATTATACAACAATACCTTAATGTTATATTGTTGTGTATTTGTGTTACCATGTTACCAACAAATAATAATTTTAATAATAAATTACTAGGGTCACAGATAAAATAGATAGTTTTACATGAGAATTATTGACGTCTATAATTTAAAAAAAAAACAATTTCTTTTAATACAAAATGTTTATTTATTGATGAATTAAGTTAATATAATTAAAATATGTTGGTATAATAAATAAAAAACTTATTCAAAATTAAGTAGCCGGTAGGTACTTAAATTAAATATTTTATCATTAATAAATTGTCCTTCGACAAGGTTTGGACAGGATTTGGACCAACTTTCCTAGATTCCGTGGGGATATTATTATTACCTAATAGATAATTTATTACAAAATATAGATTACAAAAATATTTTTTTTTTTAAATAACTAGTTTTATTGAAATTAGAAAACAAGCATTGCTGCACCATGGCATTGATATTGAATTTTTTATTAAAACTAATTATTATTTTTATTTCATAGAACGTATGAATGTAAATTCGTGGAAATTCATGAAAATTACTAGATAATAATAAATCAATACGAATATTGTATTACTGCCTGAGACAGTTAGACATTATATTTTTAAATGTCTAGGAAATACTGTCATTGACTTCATCAATTCATTACTTGTCATTTTTGACTATTGACCGTTCACTGAAATATTAATAAATATATACATTTCCGCTAATATATATTATTATTATTATATTTATTAATTAGAAATTATAATATTATTCAATAGTGATTAACATAATATAGCAGCAGTTGTGGTATTACCCTAGTGCCGTGCTGGGGGAGAGGTGGTGACACAGCCCCGCAGAGGCCCTTTGACGACCTACGCATCGTCGTCGTACAAACATTATATTATTTAACACATGCGGTGGGGTTAGATGGGGGGGGGCTGATGTTCTCAGCAACAATATTATAATTATTAAGGCCGCGGAGTTGGTATTTTCTTGGCGGTGCGTGATACCCGTGTTCGGGGATGAGACGCGCCCCTCAGCACATAACTCCGGGGAAATAGCTGCCACCGCCATCACCACTGCCGACATACTTCCTACAGTATTTTTTATGATATCATACCGCCGTCGTATTAGCATGCGTAGACATAATTTAACGATCGCCCGAGCGGCGCGAGGCGCCTTATACTAAACACCGTCTGATGTGGGTAACGAGCTAAATTCATTAAATAACCTATACAGCAGTGGCGTGCCGTATATACGTATAACATAGTATTATAATGTCACGTGTGGGTGTGGGTGTGGGTATGCAACGACTGTAAATGCATTTTGTCGTTGCGGTCCGACGGCGCGGGGTGTACGACTTAACGGCCGTCAATATTGATTAATTCCGTACCCCGTCCGCGCGCCGACACGGCTCTGAGTGCTTGCACCCCCTCCTCCTTGGGGGTTTCTGTCGCGAGAGAGATCCTACGCCACCACGAGAGTCGATCCTCGTCGTCCCCTGACGTCATCCTGTCACGGATCCTGCATGCGACGAGATGCGTCACGTCGTCGTCGAGTGCTCGATAGTATTTTTTTTATTTTTTTTTTACATGGCACTATGTCAGTGAGTAGGCCCGAAGGCTCGATCGTATTACAGCGTATAGGTAAGATTAGGTTAGGTAGCTAGTTTGTACGTCTGGACGGAAACTTCATGATAATCATCGTTTTAGCGAATTATTACCTTTTATTGTCACTGTTCGAGAGAATGGCATGAATGAGTTTGCTAGAGATTCTTATGATGGGTTTGGTGGAAGCGAGGCTACACATAGCGGAGAATGGTAGGGAGGACACTTGCCCCCGGGTGCGAGTCGTTCAAAAGTGCGTAAAATTGTACAGTAGGTATTTGCATAATTATTATGTGTGTTTATCGTAAATAAATTTCCGTTTATAATATATTAAGCGCCAGTAGACACCTTCCCCGGTGCGCAAAAAGTCAGATTCCGGCCTTGGCCGAGAGGACGTTCAATTTCGTGACCGGAAATATTGACTAATATCTATAGATTTATCAAATGTTATGGTTGTACAATTTAACAGTGAACTAGCAAATATCAGTAGTTGTAAACGACTATTAGAAACGTGAAGTCGTTATATCAGTGTTATTAGTAATTTATTTGTAGTAATAAATTGTAGTTAACCAAATATGGTTCTTAAAATTGACAACGTTTTTACATAACAACACGGAATACACAAAGAGTTTTGATCGAACATTACGTTGTTAGTGGAGCTATCCATTTAAAAACGGAAATTTCGTTTTCGATGTACCAAAAAAACAATGTGGATTAATAATAATTTAAATAATACGATTTTTAAAAACGATTCGTGATATTTAATAAAAAAAAAGTAAAAAAAACCATCAGATGCATTTTTAATCATAGCCGTTTAATTTACGGACAATCCGATAATCTGTTAAAATGAGAGGAAAAATCCATTGATAAAATAACTCCCAAACGCCCATATACCTACTACAGCATTATATTAAAAAAGGTCGCCCGAGCACACCACAATATATTTTTAATATCGTTCGTTCAAACGCAATTCTACAAACTTACCCTGATACAAACCACCCAAGCAGTACCTAGGTATAATATTATGTAATATCCAATGACGACTCTGACCGTTGATTAACCTGGTTTCGATCGTTCGATGTGTTGATGCAGTAATCAAACACATGCAGAGTTTAAAAAACTAGCACTACACGAATCTACATTTTTACAACCGTGAAAAAGAGGTGAGTAAGTCGAGATGTTATTGTACGAACCGATCAAAGCGAATTTTGTCCGTTCTTTATTCTAATGGCACAGAAATCAAACGTTGAAAAACTATATATTATGTTCGTTTTACAATCGATTCTTGCAGTTGAATACTATAATAATTATTTATATTCAAAAACAACTGATCGGTCTAACCCCAGAAGGCTAGAACACTAGCCAACTATTTCAAATCCAATGTCATTATATTAGGTATACTATATCCAGTCTCATAATATAGGTCTCTAATATTGGAATCGAACACGTCGCTCTCCTCCCATAGTTAGGTATATGGTATAAGAAAGTCGGAAGGATATAAACAGAAAATTATCGTCCCTACAAAAATTGTTTAAAACGTAAATTAATTAGAAAAATTGACTAAGCTTATCACTGAAGGATGCACTTTTTAAAGTCACTTAGTTCAATCGCCTTTAAACGCTGACGATTTCAGCAGCCGATCTGTAGGCGTGACAAATTTTTTCCTCGATATTATCACAACAATGTAATATTACTATCATTCCTATAATATTACGATATCACACAATTAGTTGGTATACACCGGACTATAATTTCACGACCGGCAAACAATATTATTATTATAACGTGTCAAAAATGTGACGGTTTTCGTTTTTTTCTCTTCCTACAGAAACACGGAGTCCGCCTGAAATGTTCGGGTTGCCGCATTATCGTGCACTCGGAATGTCTGGGCAATCTGCCGGAAGCGGCCAAGTGCAAGTCGAGCTTCAAGGACGACGGCGTGCGACAGTACAGGGAACACAAAACGGTCAAACACCATTGGATGCACAGGAGGACGCAAAAGGACAAGTGCTCGCAATGCGGAAAGGTACGTATGTCATATAAAGTTGTGACGTAATATTGTCACTGTTGGTCCTTATTGGTCCCTTAAACCGGTCGAACGACGATTTTCGCACATCAAATAATCCACCGATATTCGTCTAGGCGTTCCAGTCGGTTCTGTCGTTCAGTTCCAAGGAGATCATAGCGCTCACGTGTTCCTGGTGCAAGCTTAGTGTCCACAACAAGACCGCGTGTTTCAACGACACGAAAATGAACGAACCCTGTTCTTTAGGTGAGCAATACAAAAAAATATTATGTGAAAAGTTTCCATATTATGTTTTCAAAACATCGTCCCAGAAATACCTCGAGTCGTGCTTTAAGTAATCCTAAAAGTGAAATGAATAATAAATTGATTTATTTAACTTAATCTCTGAGACCAAATAACCCTTAAAACTAGATATTTAAAGAGTTGAATTCATTAGTGGGATTCATGGGTATCAGATCAATATATTACACTATAGGTATAAATAGTTTCCTGGGGATGGAGTGGCCGAGCAGTCTAAGATGTCGGTTGCGACGCAGCCGGCGCCGATTCGATCCCTTGGTCAAGGGTGGCATTTTTCTTTGGGCAAGTCATGGTGTTCAGAGAACAAGTGCCAACACCCCCCACCCGGACATGGCAGATATCTACGGGTGCCCAAACAAAAATTATGTCAAACACAAACACTCAAGTGTAAAAAAAACCCACCACCACCACAATACAACCCTACTAACAGCTAATAGCCATAAATGCCGGGCTTAAGAATCAATAAAAAAAAAAAATAAATATAGTTTCCTATGTTATAATATTTATTCTGCAGAGCTTTGCGGCCATGCAAGAAGAAGAATCTAATATATAATAATAATATTTAGCATAATCTTTGATAATATTAGCTTTCTTCTATTTTCATTCCAATCAATTCAAATCGAAAAAATCGAAAAAATAGGCACATAATTTGTTAATCAATGAATGGTTACTGAACTAGACGAAACGACCAATTTTCAATATAATATAATATATTATTATAGCCGCAGTCGTGTACTCACTATAAACAACTAAGTTACAAAAATGTGTTTTCATATTATTTCATAGACATTATATTTTGTAAATAACATTTCCATCATAAATCTCAACAGTGTGTACATTATTTTTTTAATACGATTTATTCAAATATTGGCATTTAAAAACGGATATAATATTATTTAATTAAATCGTTACCATATTATTATATGGTACCTACATTATATTATTTTCACATGATGTGAACGTTGATGATTTCATATCAATATTATTGACCTAATAGTACTATCTTTCTAAATGTAATAATATGATTTCACTCGAGGCGGACGATAAACGTATTATATACAACTAGCTGTCATCTAATCGAGCGACCGCTCGTCGATGGGGACAGCCAATCACGTCCAATCGGACGGTACTCAATTTCCAACCAGGTCGCAGCTTATAGAAACACACACAGATAATGGCTATACATGGTGCAGGCGGGGAAATTATTAGAAACGCTGTACGGATGTGATATTATTAAAACAAACAAACGTATTTGGAAAAATGAAACGCAAGCGCAAAAACACAATACATAGCAATATAAGAATATAATATAAGGACGGAAGGTATACGACTTTCAAGTTAATGGAAGTTAAACACGCTCGCGAGCTTTACACAACGGCCTAGGTATAGATAATTGGACGCTCTTGAAAACAATAACGGACGTCTTTCTCGAAACCTAATAACGTTCATTATTTTCACGACCTTCGACTAGAAACGTGATGTACGCGTAGTGGGTGATAGAAATTCAACTTTCATGACCGTACAATAACCTTTAATGCACGCATTACTAATAATAATTGGTCGAGTCGAAATAATATGAGTAAATTAGATTATTGATTATTGTTAAACGATATAAGTCGAGCGTTCGATGAAGACCGGTCGAAATACGAATAACGTGGGAAACGGACACCGGACGATTTTTTGATGGATAAAACAAAAATTATATTTTATACATACGCCTTCAGACTTATAATTTTACGTTCGCGTGGAAAACTAGCGTGGAAAACTGTTCGTTTTTTATGATTTATTTTATATACAAACATTGGGTAATGTTGTATATATTTTACTCTTCGACGCGTCTCTTATTGTACTGTGACATACAACAGTATTAGGTCAAATATTGCTGTAAATACAAAATTATTGACTCGGTTTTATGCGAACTGTGGTAGGTAATTTTTATTTTTATATTTATATCAATCAGATATTGTATGTTATTATTAGTATGACAGTTATGATGTTCAGAATACAGTTATGCATTGTGTTTAATCGGATATTTTATTTTTACCTTATGTGTTTTTTATTCGCTGCAAACGTACTCGTAAATATCAATATCGGTTTTTTTTAAATTTAAATTCATATTTTTACCACATGAATTCGTATGCATAAAATACATGCGCTTTGCGGAAGCGAAATAAATTACAAAATACCATACACATTCTCTCGACCACTTTATTGTTTACGAATCTAAAAAAATTGCTTTATATCTATTGGTAGTTTTTTGACGGATTATTTTTCAACGTGAAATAGATAATTCTGTGTTAATTATGTATTTGAAATAACGTATATACTGTTTTCGAATACTTGGGATTTTTCATACCACTTGGTGTCTTGTGGTAAAAGAATCTTATATTTTTCAAATTAACATTCTTTTTTTACTTAAAATTATACAGTATGTGCTTTTTTTTAAATGTTGAATGTTGATGTATCTAATTCAAAGTTGAAGCAAGTAGTTTCTAAGTATCACGGGTGCTTCACACCCTCCATGCCAAAATGTACCAGACATAATTTTGACGAACTCTGATTATGTACCAAGAGTCACTCATGACTCACAGATCGTCATTATCTCTGTACCGTGTGAGTAGCGGGTGACTCTCAGATATTTTCCTTTTTAAGCGGTCACACTGATAAAACCAAACAGCTTTTCTAAATAATTCTTGCACTCAATGATTGTAAATTATTACACAACTCCTATATTAAATGGCTTATAAGTTATAACACATAGACTTTCTTAATATATATATGGTTTTGTTATCATTGTATGATCCACGTGGGATATCACCATGTATTACTAGTGACTCACACACCAGAACAAACATTATATTAAAATATATTATAACTATAATTTAATCATCGTCTGATAGCATTGAAAATACTATGTAATAAAATATTTATGATCAATGAGTTGTCTAAAAAACTTAATTATTTTTGACCAGATATCAGCATAATATCGTTAATAAAACAAAAAAGTTGAGGGTCACCCTGATACTCAACGTACAATACACATACCTATATTAACCAGTTTTGTATACAAGGTGAGCTTGGGGGGTCAGATTCCTTCCAATTGGCTTTAGAGTGGATAATCCTCCATATTGTGTTCGATGTGAATTTTGAATCAATCCAAATTATATTCATTGTTCCTTATTGTTAAATATCTTACTACTTAAGTAAAAAGTTTTGAGAGGTGTAGATTTTCCAATTTTTCCCACCCATTTAGCTATGTTCTTTTTTTTACCCCCCACCCCCTTTTTTCAGAAATCATATTTACACCACTGATATTAAATAGGTACCATCCTACCAAGAGTACCTCCGGTGCTTCTCATTGAACAAAATAATATATAATCGTGATTTAAATGTTATTAAAAAATTAATTTATATTAAAAATTTTTTTGTAAGATTTTTAGTTTCAAAGATATAGACTTGGTACACAGAGAAAGTTCTCTGAAATTGCTATTGGTACACTAAGAAAGTCCATATGAGCGACACCAGTGACTCTCATGGTACACACGATTATATTTTTGAAAATAGCTGGTCTGGTAGCCAACGTGTTAATACATAATATTATTTAATAAAATATACGAAACGACGATACTACTCGTTTGAATTTTTATTTAGATACATCGAAATTCTCAAAAAAATTATAGCCGCAAATCCTACTATAAAATGTAATAATGATCCATCAGGGTTTTCTACTGGCATGACAGCCGAGGGCTCTGGTGGTGCTAAATTGCCTACATGATGCGCCGTCATCATTAATTATTATTACTATTATATTAAATTCGTGTTAGTATGAATATTATAATATTATTATTTTACCTAGCGCTAATTCAGTTGGACGCAGTCTAGTGTTTCTTATTCATCAATACCGGTGTAACCATTTGTCATCGAAAGTAACACACTCTCTGAGTGGCCCCGATTACGCAAATATAAATATATTCACAATAATAATACGAGCATGGCACCGTATGAGGTGATAAACTATATTTTTAAAGTGACATTTCTATATTTTGTGTGAGTCATTTTAATGAACACATTTCGTTATGACCTTAAAATCATAATTTAATATACCTACAAGCTATAATATCACATTTCAGATTTAAAATAGAATGCGGGATATAAATAAAATGTCATAATTGATTCAAATTCGTAAATTAAATAAAAAGTTCAAACGTTGAAAATGTATAAACTGATTAATAAATACCGTCTGAAGAATTTTAAATTAAATTGGTTCGCGACTCAGCATCTTTTTCATAGCCAAAGGAGTAATTGGTTTTGAACATAAGAATTAAGTACCATAAAGTTAGTCATGTCTCGGTCGTTTTTCATATTAAGTAAATATAATAACATGTTTAAATTTTTATACTAGCTTGAGTCGAGTGGATGAAAATATATGCACATTAAATACATTTTTCCTCTGCTCTGTAGACTTTAAAATTGTATTAAAAAATAATCAGAGCGGAAGTATGTGATTTTTTTTTTTAATAGTCCATTACTGGGTTTCAGTGAACAAAAAAAAACCAATAGTGGTCCAAACACCAACGAGCGATCGATATCATGAGATATAAATAACTTTTGAGCAATTTCCGGTGTATGGAAAAATAATGAAGAACAAATATTCATATTGGTATATTATTTAATGGGCACATCGGAGAATCTGTCGACATTTATTTGAAGACGATTGCAAAAAATTTACTGTGAAAAACCATTCACACAACAGTGATCTTTAAACTAAACAATACCCCCAATACATTTTATTGCTTATGACCTGCTTATCCAAAACAATATTGTAATTGATCAATACAAATATAATTACGTCTCCATAGAAATTTTCCTAATTTCATCGTATGAAGTATTATTCTACCCCGTGCAAGTAGTGTTTTTACCACTTTTTTACTGTAACGAATAAAGTC